TTGTCTCGACAGAGATTCAGCTTTGAAAACTTTTCAAGGGAGCTTTCGCGTCGTTATCGTTCCACGGCCTCGTGAAAAATATCTTCTCCTTACGACGATTGTACCTCATGTACCAGCTCCAGGATAGACTTCCGGAGAAGAACTGCGATTCATCCTACTGTCTACTGTAAGAGCTCGAGCGAACTATAAAGAGAATAATATTAGACCATCTGAAGTTGGTACGAAGCTTCGAGTTTATTAGGTATCTTTTATTTCCAGATTTAAATTGTTCCTTTTATCGATCAAGCACCACGTCAGCGTTCGAGAAACAGCGAGACATCGCATGCCCTGTTTTTCTTTTTTTTTTTTTTTGCGTGCATCTGTACAGTGGGACGCGTAAAGTTCGTATCTGCATACATCTGCGTCGCTGTTTCGCTTATTTGCCTGGCTCGCTCGACGTCCTGAACGAACCTGTGCAGTAACGAAGGACATTGTGCTTTAATATCGTAGAGAGGTGGCGAAGAATCTCAATGGACAAAGGTTGGAGATCCAAGCACGGTTCTTGCGTTCGTTATGCGGCATATTCGATGAATAACGGTATTTCAGAGCGCGAAATTTATTTGGATACTCTGTTACCGTTTGGATACTACGAACTCGGATATTCGTCAACCACGGTCGGTTTGATCGTCCCAATTTTTCAAACAATTTAACGATAATGGAGAAAAGAGTACGGCATAAATTGTAGCTAATGGTACACGCTTCTGTTCCACATTTCCTCTACGCTTAATTTCGAAAGAGACAAAATCCACATTTACACTTCTACGATGGGTTTAATTAATGCGGGGCTCTGCGTTCTAGCTGGCGACGTTGTCTCCTTATGCTTGTGGAACTCCTCTGCTATCGAGCATGTTCCTATACATCCGCGCGTAAATGAAATTTCGCGGAGCTCGCGAACTCTGTAATTGCTACTTTGCGCACGGAAAAGATCGCGCGGCCCGAATCTTCGAGAACACCGAGCGCAAGTTATCGCGAATTTGGCGCGTGTATACAGCGCTGGAGAACCGAGCCGACTATGAGAAACGAAACCTTCAACGGACAACCAAGTAAACCGAAACGATTCACGCGCCTATGTACCCTAGGTTTTCATATGAGCGTTACATGAGTAAGAATGAACTGCACCTTAAATATTTGGATACTACAAAATCATTGTAAATATCCATGTAACATATACTAGGAGCGAAGCTTTTTAATCTAATGCCAGTGTCTAACGTTATACGATTAGTAGATATAGAAACTATACTTGATGCTAATTGATATAAACTTGAAAACAATGAACGAAAACCGATGATCGACGAACCGGGATGATTAATGTATGTAAGATAAATGAATCTAAGGATCCAGGTAGAAGATTACCGTAGAACCTCGTGAACCGAGACAGTTTGAAAAAAACGAAACCTTCGACGAAGGAAATCAAGTAAAACCGTGGCTCTGGTATGCCACATCGAAGCTAAAATCCTACGTTTTTCGTATTTAATCGAATTTCCAGATAATTTCCCCGGTTAATCAATCGTTCCAACTTCCCCTTAAAAGCATAACGTAGACAGCCAAAGTCTAGAGTGATTTACTGGCGGAATACCAGACCATAAATACAATCGATAGCCATCCCTGTGAGTCGCGCTTAATTGCCTCCGGTGGAGTGGGGATACATCTCGGTCGCGTCCGTGGCGACGTTAAACTACTGAAACCCGATGTTCCCCGGTATACGATGTGGTCTTCCAAGAAATCTTAACCGGCTGGTGGTCCAGATGCGCGATCATCATCGCCCCTGGCTGCGCCCTGACACTAAGGATCTGCGACGTTAGTATCCTCTGGTAGGAATAGGATGGCAAATTTCCGCAACCTATCGATTGTGGCCAAGCGCCTTGCATTATCTTCCCTATGCGAGAGCCGTGTGCAACACTGTTGGAATAGTCGCGAAACACATATCAACGCCGTATTTCCCTCGCAATCTAGAGCCTGTGCGCGTTACATAAATTCATAGAGGCATGAGGAGGCGGAGAAGAGGGCGAGGGAGGCGACAGGGAGAGGGTTAGAGAGAGAGAGAGAGAGAGAGAGAGAGAGAGAGAGAGATGTAGAAGGGAATGGAACGTAGAAGGGTAGGGGAACGTGTGGAACATGTTTCGCGCGATAGTGTACATTTGAGATACAGCGAGCGGACTACGGTTCTAATTCCGATGACGTATGAGCTTGCATAACCTAGTTTTCTGTTTGCCAGCCCCGGTAATGAGTTGTCTAGTCCTTTCTCTATCTCGTGGCCTACCTTTCTCTGTCCTTTCCACCTGTAACCACCGAATCCCTTCTGTCGGTGTTGCACCCCTTCACCAACCGCGCCGCCTGCTAGCCGTAACATCGTGTATTCGTGCTCCGTAAATTATACGGCTGACAGATAATCGTACGTTCGTAAGTTTCAAACGATCTAGACATGGGATGATAGGGAAGCGTAAGTAGCTGCATAAGCAGTGGTAACAGCGAGCAGAGAGAGAGAGAGAGAGAGAGAGAGTTGCGCGAAAGTGGAAAGAAGGAAATCCGCGATGATGCGGAGGAGGTTAGCTAGCTAGAACGATAAGCGTGGTCGCGTGGTAAATTATGGAGCTGATTACCCGTCTAGATACCTCCGGTGGAATTGTTTTTAATGGAGAGCGACGGGAGATTAGCGGAAATCGGATTATCTTCCGGTGAACGTTCGACAGAAGTCGAAGAGACTTTTCGAGTCAGAGAGGGGAGGAATTTTGCAAGGAGAGGAAATGGTCGTTGGGGTGAAACACCGACAACTGTCTTTTTACTCCGCTGAAACTTCTCGCGAACTGGAAGACTACAAGAAAATTCTATCATGCTGGAAACAACCTCTAAGAGGTTTTAGTTGCCGCAACTTTCGACCTCGGAATTCGGTTAATTCATGTGCATCGAAAAGCACTCGAAAGCGTTCTCCTCGCTTTCTCGAACAGTGTCTCGACGGATGCGGTGGTATTCGGCACAGGAAATGTTCACCTGTGAATAGCCGCGGTTATTCCTGGAATCGAGCAAGCGTATTTTTCTTGCATGAAAGGAACAGAAAAGCGAGGAATTTGGCTAAATATACGAACGAAAAACCAATTTTCAAAAGTACTTTTCACAAAATTTGATATTTACAACTTCTCGATGCCGTATTGACCATCGCTAGAAATTTCCATTTACGAACCATGGAAGATTATTCTAGCGAATATTTTCGAGGAAGTCAAACGATTGAATTTCCAATAATCCTTCTCTACAGAATATCGTCCGATATTTGTTGCAACGAATCAGCATGGAATATTCCACTAATTATAAGACGAGAGCAAAACAAGAATTCGATTCCTTTCAGTCAGATATTCTCGTCTTGAATGAACTCGCCGGAAGAAAAGGGAAAAATTAATATTTCTAGTAGCGAGAAAGCACGACGTCGGCGAGAATTTCTCGCATGAAAGAAAACGGAGAGCATCGGCTGGCGTTCAAAGCAAAAAGTAGCTCCTGAGCTTGCTAGAACGGCGAGAATTTTAACGAGCATAACGACCCACGATGTTTATTAAATCGATCATCTTATCGTAACGCTGTGCAGCGATGATTTCAGGCCGGATATAGACGAGTAAGTATCTGGTGGCACGTGAAGCGACGATTTTTCATTGGTAACGTTCACGAAGCTCCTTTCATCGCCTGTTTGCCATCTCACTGGTTGCCAAGACAGCGGCAATAAAACAGATCGTTCGTCGTCGCTTTTACGTGAGATCACGCTCGCTGCAACGCGCGCTTCGTTCGCGCGTTTTGTGACTCTCTGCCTCTGCTCTAGACGCAGAAAGATTCGTCACGCTGGTGTCCCGGCGACCGTCAACGAATCTGTCACGTTACTTCGCAAAAATCGCAACGCTCCGACCGCGAAAGAAACGCCTTCGCGTTTATAGCGCGCGAGGGTTGAAGTTTTGCGAAAGTTTTTTAGTGGCGGTTAGTTGAAATCACTGGAAAAACACGGGGCAAAAATTCAACACGGTGAGTTTCGAAGAAAATTGGACCGGTTGCTCGACCATACTAACCAGATTAACTTTTACACGATTTTTTTTTAACGCTGCAACTTTACTAACAAGAAAAACATAAAATTTATACATACAGAAAATGAAAATACACGGTGTAATGAAAGGGGTGGTGTATACTTTACAGAAAATCATTCAAAAGTACGCCGTCATGAATTTATAAAATTTTTGTAAAATTATAAACTAATCATTTTAATTATTTCGATAGTTGTAGTATTAAATGTTTTGTGTGTAAGAATATATTGCTTTTATCTAGCAGTTTACTATGCAATAATTTACGAATGACTGTAATGATTCGATATAAAAACAACTCGTACCAAGTTTTAAATGGTTGCAAAGGTGCAGTAACGATAAGACAACAGAACACGCAAAGAAAAGTTCATATTTTGCCTTCTTTTTGCTTCACCATTCGTAATGCTGCACATATACTCTAGTACAGCCAGCGGCTTGGTGAGTCTCTACATCGATGGATTTCACTCCCTGCCAATTGCTATTTTCTCTTTTATAACATTCACCTGTCATGTAAAAACACAAGAAAATATATATATATATACGAGAAAACAACAACGGTGTTCTTACGATACTATAAATGGACATACATTTGACATAAAATGTATCAAATGAGATGTTACGAGCTGAATTCTCCCGAGACCAATGAACATATTGACTTTATGTTCTTTTTCGAATTAAATGGTTCAGGAAGGTACTGTGTCTAGTATTGTGCAACAAACTTTTTGTTGACGTTTCTTGTTAAATCGAATAACATTCACCTAACCATTTTTTCTTTTGTCACCCTGAATATCGTTGTTCAGGTTACAATTTCACTTTACACACGAATAAGCACACTTTTTCCATCGTTAGATTTCAACTTCCAAACGTTTGAAACTATTGTAAACAAGCTTGATGCTTGCAGAAGGAGAGCTAGTGAAGAAATTTGGGACAAGAAACTAGAGTTAACTCGCCATTCATCGAGAGACAGAAGGGGAACCAACCGCACGCGTCGTTAGATGTAACAAATGCAACACGGTCGAGAAGGGCGCACAGAGGGAAGAAGGTAAACGAGCGTCCGAATGCGTGAGTGTGGCCAGGAAAAAAGGTCGCCAACTTAACGAGGTAATTTAATCCGTTTTGTCAGCCAAGCCAGCCAACAACGATGCTTTACGGGGTTTACTTGCAACGAGAGATAATAACTCATCGCGAGTTTTGCTGAATCTGCGTTTACCTTGCTTCTGATTTGCCTTGGCTGTTGCACCCACGTTTGTTGATGACGCCCATTTCATCCTTCACCGCGATACTCGAACAATTAGTAATTAATTATATCGACCACGAATACTAGAGGCACTTTTCCTTCCCGTTAAACAGTCCAATTGAAAAATACTCTTTCATCCTTTCTACTAATCGCATTAAAATTAAGTTATTATATCATATATCAATTATATTAGGATTAAAGATTCTTTCAATTCGTCTTATATGCCCACTCGAGTAATTTTAGGCTTTTTAATATTACCAGCCTATTCAAAGGATATCACAGAACGCGAAAAGAAGTTGGATCTCGAATTTTTTTCAAAAGAAACAGTCTCGCGAGAGTGGGATAAATTCGTCGTAATTGGTCGTTGTTTCGTCAGGCGTTATCTTGAGGTACGTTGAATAAGTGCTGGCGCGAGAGTAGGTTTCGTTTGAAGCGTATCTCATTCGTCTATCTTATTTTTACAGGGCTGGACCAGCCGGAACCAGAGATGAATTCTTGCATGCCTTCCATTGAAACACCCTGCCGGAAATTACACTTTTTACTTTTCCCCACCTCTGCGAAATTGAGTGGGTGCCTAGAGCCTGATGAGAAGCATCCGCAAGGAAAGCCAACGTGCAACGCGAACTCCGCCCGCTGAATGTTTAAATGCACGGCAGGACTTTATCTCGGTAAAAAATTATGAAATTCAGATCCGTCTGTTGCGAAAAATGGCGCGATAACGTGCAGAAACAGTAATAAATATTTCAGCAGGATAAAACGCGGATTCGCGTGCATTCAGAGCCGCTTCTGCTTTCCCAATAGATTTCTATTTTTCTGGCCATGTACCGACCGTTTAATCCCAGAAGCGGGTGCACCGATACGATGTAACGTTGTTTCTTCTGGAATTATTATCGGACAAATAATTATAATTCGGGAATTTTTTCTACATACGTGCACTATGTTACTACATTTTACGCATTCGTTGGTCACAGCGTTGGCCACGGCTATTGCGTGAAATCGATCGGCAACACGAGCATGTTGCAAAAGGAATTTACTCAATAGCAAACATTTTGCGCGACATTCGGTGATACTAAGAGATACTTATCATGAAAAATCGCACGAAATTTCGACACACCGTTGGACGTGGATTCAAGGCGACAATCGACCGACCCATATTTTCCAAGAACCCCGCACGTTGAATTAGACTGTCGAATACTCGTCTTTTTTTTCCTCACGTGGCGAATTCGCGAAATTTACCCCCGAGACGTGAGGAGCATCGGCGTCTTTGTCACGGATTACATATTGTATACTCGGGACGAGAGAAGGATACCGGGGAGCCCCTGAAATATATTATCCGGTAGGGGACGTTTCCACCCCCTTATTTCGCGTTTCAGCTCCGAAGCGAACTGGCCTTGCGAGTGCTCGTCCAACCAACCTAGCAACGCGTTGGGAACAGCAACGATCCTTAACTTTACCGCTGACACCTCGAGTGTCCAAATAAATAATGCGCCTTATTTGTTATAGGAATTGTACCCAGTAAGGGATGAAATCTGCGGCTGCCGGCAGCCAACACCAGCCACCCGGAAATCTGCGTGATTAAGTGCACCCTTCGTTGGACGATAATTGCTCTACAAATACGCGAAATTTATTGCGAATTCACCACTAGACACCGGGGACACGTCCCTTTTGCAACCCACCACGAATTTCCCCGGGACGACTATATCTGACGGTCAAGTTAAATAAACGATTATCCTCTCTTTATTTCACTTTACAGCTGATAAACAGTATCTTGACCATTTGCAAATTCTCTTCAAGGAAAGACGTCGTATCGACCACGTTGTCTTGGAGGAAGCAGTTAAAAAAAGTTCTCTTAGTTCGATACGGTATATTTTACAGAACATCACGTTTTTATGCGGTGTGTTTAAATCTCTGCAGTTTATATCGATTATTTTAATTTAATGAATTGTATAAATGGTATACGAAAATGTAAAAACATCGAGCTGCAACATAAATTATGCAGACAGTACGTTAAAACTGGTTTTGAAAATAACTTTTTGAAATATCAAATGCTGCTTGCATTGCAAAAAGTTAATAATTTAACATGATTCGATACTGTAGTTACTATAAAAACATCCGAATAACTCTTGCTTAAAGATTTAATTTTTAATTGAATAACAAGGAAAGGTATAAAAATCATATAAATGATTTTCCAATCATTATTTCAGCCCGTGTTCCATATAATTTCATTAAAGCTTTCGAGACTTTCATTTCAGTCTTCTGACAAATATTGTGACAGTTAATGTCTGCAAACCTTGTACCATACAATCAATAAAGAGTATCGTTAGTAATTGAGCTTGATTTCTCATTAATCCATTACATAACGAACGCTAGAAGGATTTCATCGTTCGATGTCCTGCGAAGTAGGAGAACGGCGCGACATTAATCGAGCTGCACTCTTTGCTCGATTAATAAATTTCACGGTAGTGAAAGCACTTTGTAATTTCCCCAGGCAAGCGAGATACCTGTCAGATATATCTCGCTCGAAAGAGATTTATAATGAAAACGAGAAATTCATAAAGTCACACCGGCGAATTTACAGTTATACCGTGGGTCTCGCTCTCAATATTATTAATCGTTGAAACTCGCGGTTTCGACGTTGAAATAATCTCCCATATCCGAGAGGTCGACTATCGTTATCGACTCGTGAGCTTCGTCGAACACAGCCCGGAGTAGTTGAATGTTTTTCGTTGCAGAGTAAAATTTTAATCGCTCCCCGTCAAATTCCAAAAACAGAAGATCTCCGATATTTTCACCGTACGGTTCGATCGATTCCACGAAGAGAGGTTAAAAAATATAGTAGAACGGACAGCAATTTCAAACGTTCCGTGTAATCAGCGACGGCATGATAAAAATACGAGGGTACCGGTAAAACGCCAACGAAGCGATACGCGACAATGTGGTGGGATCGGAACGTTTTCGCGAAATTTTAGTTTTTCGTTTTTCACCAGCCAAACAATGAAGTATATACCGCGTGGCGGACGCAGTGTAAAATCTTTGCCAATTCCGCGAGATTTAGCGCGCCCGCTATCCATAAAACCGGAAATTGATTACGTTCGCGCTAATAGAATTTTTATTCGCGCGACGACCGTTCTCCGCGCGCGAATTCACTCTCCATAGTCTGTGGCAAATACGGAGCCATGACGATGTTCTGGAATCGCTTCCGCGGTTATCGTATAAATTTCATCGAGACAAGACTGTCTTAGAGTCCTATCACTGGTATACCGAGGTTGTGTTCGTTTAACGGATTTTATGTCTCCCCAGTGTAGCCGTTATGAAAAGAATTGCGACATAAGTTTTAAAAACGCCCTAACGTCGTTGCACTTAGTTTTAATGATGAGATGGATATGTTACAGGGTAAGTTTCGGTCAAGTTAATCGAATTGCTTGAATTCCAGCTATTGAAATCGAATTATTTATCTTTTATTATTTCGATTTCGAAGGAAAATATTCATTTACCCTCTACCATCATTGTTTTTTCATTCACTAGCAGGTCCTCGTTACACGATCTAACTAATATTACCAGTAGAATTCTACAATTCGTACATTACCAGTATATTATTGAATTTTCTTATATAACGGTAATAACATTGATAATTAAACAAATGAGATTAAATTAAATTCAAAAATTACGATGAAAGTTTTGCACATTAACATTATATATAAATTACAATCAAATTTTGCAAGCTACGAAACATCCGATTACCTTACTCGACGTAAAATTGCAAAATTATAGCAGAGAAGCCTATAACCTACAACCTGTAACTTACAAATTCATCGATATGTTATAACTTCGCTAATTTTACTCATATATACATTTAAGCATGTAGAAATATCGATTTTCAATATTTCTGCAGCGATGAGTCGCAGACCATAAATATAAATAAACTATTACTTTTGAATTGGTTCGATAGCTAGATGGAAAAGTTGCGACGTAAAGATAAACAGCTAAGCGACGGTAAAACGATCTTCATGAATGTTTAACGTTCGATCGTCGTTTAAATATTTAATTCGCCCCGTGGCGCGTGTAAACGCGAATAAACGGCCGTCGCACAGAAAACCAAGCTATCGTAGTAGTCGTTGGCGAGCCGATGCGGGCCCCCGAATCCGTTTGCCGCTGGAATCGCGACAAGCAGTGCATCGTGGAAGCACCACGAGAATCAAGGTTCAAAGTCGGCGGAAGTTCGTTACACGAATGCCACGAGGATTCCCTTCGCTTGGGTGTACTTTTTCCTGTGGCATTCGCGCGGCGACGGTGTTAAAATTCAGCGCGTTCAGCTTGTCGCCAGAGGCAGTCCAACTGGGTCATTAAATATGAGAGATCTCGTTGCCGAGACTCCCTCTCGTCGAGCGTGCTCCTACACGTACGGTAGTAGTGCAAGAAAAAAAAAAGAGTAAGGAAAAAAGGAATGTAGAGAGAAGAGAAGGAGCAGCGAGGGTATTTGACGGGGAGAGGGTGAACGAAACAACCGGAGAGGCTTGGAGAGAGAAGTAAGTCTCTTACAGTTGTTTCTCGGCTGCCTGACGCGCGAGACGCGCCACTCTGGATGCACTTTTGTATAATTTTACTTTAATTGCTGTTGAGACCCGGGAGTTTTCAAGTTTCTCCTCTCCTTATCTTTTTCATACTGCTCTAGCAACCGGCTGCTGTCTTCGTCACCGGCCGTTTCACCTCTACATCACCTCCCCTTTCTTCTCTTTAATCTATTTCTCTCCCCAAAGCTTCTTGCCTTTATTTCCTCCCTCCTTGGCACGCTTTAACTCTCCACCAACCTTCGCTACCTCTCTCGTTTCTTCCTTCTATCATCCCGTCTCTTTCCCGCTTACAATCGCGTCGGTACACGTCCACTTTTCCTCTTCTTCTTCCTCTTCCTTGCACCTCCGCTATCACCTGCTGGCTGCATGTAGCCAGCGTTGCAGTCACGAGTCAAGGCATTCCGAGGTAAAACTGCTTTATGCAACCGTTCCTCGTCTTAACTCATAACGCGAACAGCGAGCGCGCTGTTGAGTCGACGATAAGCCTTTCACGGCTGCCTTGGTTCCACGGGATCCGCGAAATATGATCACGTCCAGCGGATTAAGCACGAACTCGAATTAGGGTTGGAAGGACGTGAGATCGCCGTGCGCAGTCTCGCGGATCCGGGCCTTCGTTTCAGTGCTTCACTAGCCGGTGGAATTCGCGAGAACGCGCGAATGAAAGCGCACGTGGCCGCTAATCCCACTCACGTTTCTCAGACGCTATAATGAGATGGCGTTATTGTTTTTATGCCGAACGAGATACGACTCGGGATTTCAATTTCCTCTCTTCATTAATACTGCTCTCTCTTTCCTTCTGTCTGTCTCTCTCTCTCTTCCTATCTCTCTTTCTCTGTTCTAGCTGTTGGCGAGTGGTCGCTTAAGGCAGAAAAAGTTTAACGGAATGTGATAAATTAATTGTGGATGTTAATGCATTTATGTTAAATTTAACCCCTTCGAAACTATATGTTTTTGGAAGTTGTAAAAAAGAATCCTGTTCACGAATTGTCAAACGGAGAGTGTTTTCGTAAAAAAAAGTTGAGATTTTATCGAAGATAAATATATTTTGATAACTCGTTAAAATACAATGTTGTGTAAACACAATATATACAATGATTAAAAGTACAAAAATGCATAAAATGTTCATAACGATACATTCAAAATGAAATACTTGTTACAATATTTAAACGATGAAATCTCCCGTAGGTTCTATTTTATTCAATTGTTTGTAAATATATTAATTTGCATGAACATCCACGGTCGAACGATAAATCACACGTTTCCACGCTTATAACATCCATGTAACATCCCCAAATGCAGTCCTATTGATTCCTGTACCTATAAACACTAATATATCTTTTAATGAAAATTTCACAAACGCAGTTCTAGTTGTCCACTTCGCGATGCTAATAAAGTTATTCGAAGAAAAATTGAAAGTTAAAAAGAAAAAGTTTTGCAAATGGTGTTTTTCGGCCATTACACTTCTCTCAATCCTTACAGCCAATATTTTCTGCGAATTTACTAGCCGTAACGAAGCAACTCGCAGCTCGAATATTTTCAATTAAGCGTAAGTATCCGGCAAAGTTGGCGTCGCGAATTTTAATCAAAGCGAAAAATGCCCATCCCAAGACGAGGTACGTATACATATATTAGCCGGGAAGAGCTGTTGCTCGAGACTTTGTCACTTGGCTAAGGTGATCCTTTGTTATCGTGCTCTATCTAAAACTTCCATAAGGTCTCGAAAGAGGCGCAGACCGGCAACTCTTCGCGAAGTCTCCGTGGAATAAGATGTTATCGAGCTACCCTGGCAATGTTTACCCAAAAGCGGTCTAAGGACCAGCAGGTTCCTGCACTCTTTCATCGAGCATATCAGATATTTATATCGTGGTCGTAACAGGGACGTTTTCCCTCGTGGACGAGGGGATCAACGAGCCGGAAAACACGCAAGTAGTCATTGACACTGACTGATACGTTTTCACCTCCGCTTATCGAGGGATATCAAGATCCTTTCGCGAGGTCGAGCTTTTTATTCTCGTGGAAGTTGTAGCAGGACTCATGAAATTCCACTGGGAGAAACCTTCCCCCTCGTTAAAAGATTTTCCAGGTTATACGAACGATAATTATTTCGACGAGGACTCTCTTCTCGCAAATGGGTAGATTTAAAACGCGGCGAATCATTGAATAATATGTAATATTCATCGAGCCGTGAATTGAAATAATGCCGAATGAATATGCAAGAGCTTGGAACGATTATACGCAAAGAAAAGTGGGTGTATCGGGGTCACAGAGCCTCTAACTTACAACTTCAAGATAAATCTCGACTTACTTTGCTCGCCACGAGTGTGCCTGCGAGGCGC